CCCCCCTTTATAAATACGAAAAAATAACGTTAAACGAGGTTTTAATTTCAAGTCGCCTCATCGCCAGCGCGATGCATCGCTACCCCTGATCAACTAATCAGGATGCAGAAGCAGGTGTAACGTGAAAATCGAAGCTACCTTTTATTCCAACAAAAAAAATTCCTTGCGAAATTTTGGGTTAGGAAAAGTATTACAGTATTATCTTGACCAAACCCTAACCTAACTCTAACCAGTCGCTATTTGTTTTGATTAAGAAATCAAATGATTGATTAATCAGGGGGTAGCGATGCATCGCACTGGTGATGAATGATAATTGCCTAATATAGGCATTTGATAATTGAATACAACAAATTAAAAGAAAGCAGCCAAAGCAAACCCAAGCGAGGGTTGCAATAAATATACTTTTTATATCAGTATGTGTTAACTACGCAACATAGTGGCAGAAAAAGTTTGTTCAGTAAATAGAAATCATTTTAGTGGGGTACGTATCATTTTATAGAAAATCATTTCACAGACATTTTATTTCATAAACAATAAATTCATAGATAAGTTCATTTAATTTACAGACAGTTGTTTTATAAACAATCTTTGACAGTGAATAACTTTTAATCTACTAATCTATTTTAGATAATTTGATTGCCACAATAATCATCTCATCAAGTCAATTGTTTTGGTAATTAACAATCTTTGACAGTAAATAACTTTTAATCTACTAATCTATTTTAGATAATTTGATTGCCACAATAATCATCTCATCAAGTCAATTGTTTTGGTAATTAACAAAAAGGATCAATAGATTAGGAGCTATTCACTGTTAAAGATTGTCTATGAAATGAACCGTCTGTAACTTCAAAATGAACTTGTCTATGAAGTAAAATGTCCGTGAAATGATTTTCTATAAAATGATACGTACCCATTTTGGTGTAATGTGTTTTATCAAAAAAATGGATTTCGGCCATTTTCACATATAAAAATAAATATACAAAAAGTCTTTACATTTATTGTCCGGAACGAAGCGGAGGACACTGTTTTTACAACGCGATAGTGTCACATGAGTCTGTCTGTTCGCTTCCGCTTACCTGATTGGCTACTACTTACATGCTTATTAATGCTTATTGATACTTTTTTGTTACATGATCGTTACATTTTTGATCGTATCGTTACATTTTTTTGATCGTTACCTTGCAATACAAGAACAATTTTTATTTATACACTTTAGAGTAATTAATTTTTTATTTAAGCTCCGTATATCGGTTCACGATTCCTAGTAATTACATCAATAACTTCAACTTTTTTCTTTTTTAGAATCTTTTGCAGCTTTCTTTTTATCCTTTTTCTTTTTCTTGGGCTTGGAAGACTCTTCAACAACTGTTTCCTCAGCTTTATCTTTCGTTTTGTCATCGCTATCCGCTTGCATTTTAAATTTCTTATGTTTTTTAGGAGGAGAAACTTCTTCACCTGTTATTTCCAAAGCTTTACGCTTCACTGAAGGTGCAGGTTGAACTATTTGTGCAATAATAATTATGGTAATTACGTTTAAAAAGGAACAAAAATGCAAAATTGCATGATTAAATGCTGTAAATATAAATTACCTTGATCAACATCCATTTCTTTGTCACCTTCTTTTTCAAGCTCTTCAATCACCTTATTTATGACATCAGCATTTTTTGTAACGGCAGACCCAGATTCATAAAACTTCAGTCTTTCCTCAACTTGATTTTTAAGAGCTTCACCAAATTTCGAAGTAGGCTTATCTATGAAATTTGACCATTGGAATCAATCAATATATTGAATGTTAACGTTTATATGGAAAAAGGGACAAAATTGAAATAATTGTTTTCTACCAGTAAAGCAATCTATTCGGGACGCAATTGTACACTTATTAGCCAAGAATCGAGAGATCCTGCCTTTGTTTTTAACTCCAGCACGTCCAATAAAAGAGGAGTGATATAAAAGACCATACTTTGGAGTGTTTCCTTTTGTTTTAAGAGCTCTACATTATTAAATGCATTAAATAATATATAAATTTTACTTTTCAACGAATCTAATTATTGATTTCATATTTGAAAGCTCTGTACACCTAAATAAAGCCTTCTCAGCCCCCAAAATTTGAACAGTGGAGGCAGGATATTTTGAGAGATTCGCCAAGCTCCCAGCGTGAGAAATCAACCTGGCACCAACAACTTCGCCAATTAATGCCGATAAATTGGGAGCCACATTATTCATTTTATATAATAAATATTCGTGTAAACTTTTACGATAATCGGCAAGATTGATTACACGATCTGCGAAGTGTTCGATATTAATCATATCCAATTCAGAAATATCAGTGCCCATCGATACACGAGCTGCATCAATAATTTGTTTCGCCTTCGATTTATCTCCAGCTATTTCTGCAAGATCTTCTAAATGTTCTTCAGTTAGATCGTTTTTGTTTCGAATAAATTTGGCGAGAACAGAATATATGTAATTGTCGTTAACGATCTTTACGAGTTCTGGAAAATGCCATGAATACCATTCTCTGAAATAGAATAATTGATAAAAGCGCATTTAATATACATGTTGAAAATGTTTTTGTAGTAGAAACTAATAAAAACCTAGCTTTACCTAACTCTCATTGCAAATGTATTAATATCTTTATCTAATTGATCTAACAAGGATATAGCCTGGATTATCATATTATCAGCACGATTAACATTGAACTTAACCTTCGCCCTAGAATAGCTATGTCCCAATCCTAGTTGCGCCTTAACGAGTTCACCTTCCTTCACTTGATTTAACAACTTATCGGAATGTAATCTAATGCCGCGAACAAGTTCCAACACAATCTCGCTAGTTTCACAATCGAATCCCAATTCAGCTTTAATAGAACTCGCCAAATTCTTATCTACAACGCCAAGTATAGGACTTTTCTTTTTTCCGGGCTTTGGAAGATTCATCTCCAAGAAATTTTTGAGTTGGTCATTTAAGACCCCTGCATTTTATAAGGGGCATAAATCTAATAATTGAATCCAGTTGACACCACTGATGATTAATGAAATCTAAAAGATTCAGTCTCTAACCTTCAGATATATCATTTGCATTCTCCAAAGCGTGGGCAGCATTTTTAAAAGGAACAAATGACTTGAGTTTTATTGCTTTTCCAAATTTTGCTAAATCTTGAACAGTCTGCTGAACATTTGTAAGTTTATACCCGATCTCCTCGCTTTGTAAACATTCGAATAGGGAGTAACCAAAGGCTGTTTCAAAAAGCACGTAATTTACCTTATGAATTGGCCGAAGGAGTCATGTAACAGGCTTTATAGATCAAAAAAAGCAAGAAAATTAAAGTGACTTTTACTTACCATGTTCGATATTAAATTTAAGAGCTTTAAATCTACAGTATCAAAAAATGCATTTACTAGTTTTCCTTAAATTTTTATCGCTATTGGTCTAGGTAATCTCGAAATTTTCGAACGATCACACCAGAAATTACGCGGATCAGAGATTTCTACGAGTGATACAAGCTCAGAAAAAGCAGAAAAAAGAAAACAATTGTGTAGATCAAAGTTTCTATTGGCCATCGGTAAATCATACTTTTTTGATTGACGATCCTTGATCTTAATTCCAGTGTTGAAAATTTCTGTACACCAACACACATATATTTGATATCTCAAAATTCTGATTATATAATAGCTTTTGGGGTTCTAACAAAAAATATTCCTTGCAAAATTTTAGTATAAACTATAACCTTCTCTAACTCTAAAGCTACCTTCACCCTAACCTTAAGCTATACTAATTTTTTGTTTATAATTTATATATTACACAAATTCGTAAATCAATAAATTAGTATGTGTGTATATCAGGGGTACCGAAAAATTAATTGCAACTCAATTAATACGCAATTATAATTGATTGTAATTGTTATTGTATCCAATTAATGATTAATAAGATAATTGCGAATAATTGCAATTAATTGCAATTATTCGCAAATTTTGCTTACATTATAAATTTTCTATGATACGAAGTTTTACATAATCTTTACAACAATGTTACAGTAAAAAAACACCATTAACAGTAAAAAAATACCACCAATAAAAAAATATGATTACAATAAAATCGTCATTAACTTCAACTATATACATATATTGAAATTTATTTTTTAACTTGGTGTACATCTTCGATCGATTACATTTTGTCATTCATTCTTAGCAACAGAATATTTTTCAAAGTATGCGGGTCAAGCGATTTTCTCCAGTCTGTATAATAGTATTTTACAAGTGAAAATAAATGTTCTACAGCATTGGATGTGGGAGGAATAATATTCATATTCATATATTTGGATTCTTCAAGCTTATGCTTTTTTGCAACATGTTCATTCATTGGCATTGATTCTTCTTCCACTATTGATTGTATACTTCGCTCAACAATAAATGGTTGGAGTTTTTCCTTTTCTTCTAATGTTAATATATCTTCATGCTTGCGTAGGACTTTAATTACAGCCCCTTCAAAGACAGGATCATGGACGATTGATGTATTTTTTCCTAATCATGTTTCTAAATCTAAACATTCTTCAATCAACAAATCAAAATATGCATGCACATCATCTAAATTCATAGATTCGTTTTGTAAATCATTTGTTGCTTCCACAAAATATTTAAGTCGATTAATAAAATTGTTTACTTTATTCTGATTTAACTGTTCTACTAAAGAAATATCACGACCTAAAAATATATATAATAAAAAATAAATAAAGTTAATAGTAAAATTAATAATAAAATTAATAAATAATAATAATAATAATAACAAAACTTGACCTGAAAATCCATTGGTTTGAGTAATGTAAGAAACAAGTTTCTTACACCGTTCAACTATTTTCATAACACTCATCCAACGGGTTACATTATCTAATATAGGCTTCAAAGGTGTAACCTTTGAGAGCTTTCTATGGTTTTTATAAGTTCGCATCATATATATGATAGCACGAATTTGATCTACAAGTGTAGATGAGAAATTAATAAGATTGTTAACCGCCAAATTTAAACGATGCGATGTACATCCAACAAGTGGAAGGTTGAAATCGGTTGCTATTTTTTTTGTTGGTGTTGCAGTTATCTCCTGAAAAAAAAAGAATATCTTCAATGTTTTTGTCATATGTTTCTAAAACATCCATAAAAAATCTAACATGTGCATCTGCACTTTGGGTAGAGCGATCTTCAAATGGCGAAAATGCAAGCAACACCAAATTTCTAGGTTCATAAATTGATTGATAGATTCCAAATAGCCCAACAAAGTGAATGCTATTGCTCGTCTATCTATCAAACATAACTCCAATTCTTCTAGGTAAAATACTTTTCATTCTTTCCCGTATACTATCTGCTAAACCATCAATGTACTTGCTAACCGTTGAAGCATCCAATTTTAAAAGGCTGGTATGTGAAACAAAATCAGAGTTTTCATATGCGTTGAGAGGTAATTGGCACTTTATGATAAGGCTCACCCAGTTAAAAATATTAAGAACGCTTGTATTATAGTTAAATGTATCAGTAGAAGAGACAATACTTCCTATATGTTGTTGGTAAATCAACTTAAAATTACTATGTTTTCCTTCTAAATGGTTCATTAAATTTGTATAACCTGTTCCTTTTTTTTGTGTTATTTGTTGGAACCCGAGAGGGCATAAATTATACTGATGTCTGCTATCATTTGCAGGTTTAAAAAAAGTCTTGATGTAACATTTATTTGGAACTTTAACGTTCATTGTCATTAATTTTAAAAAAAAAGATTTAGAGTGCTGATATATGTGTTTTCGAAAAGGAGTATAAGCTAATATTATGGTGGCTTGCATAATTTGTAAATTTTACAGGTTATTTAAAAGAGAAATTTTCTTTATAAGACCACAACCACTTCATAATTCACCTCCGACACCTTAGCAACCAGACAAGATTCAGATTACGATGGTAATTGTATTTATTACTTTATTTCGAATTGGGAAAGAAAGATATTGGCTTGGCTTACTAATTCTCTTTTTTTATTTATATATTATATTACATCTGACTTCGTTTGACTACAAATTGATGACATATTTCATGCACGATTAAGAATAAGCTCTACCTGCATCGTAACTTTCTGGTGTCACACTTGATTCATCCAATCATATTAGATCACCCGATCCTAGTTCATCACGTGCCCCACTCGATCAATAATTGCAATTAATTGACTCTCTATAGCTGCGCCACCAATCAATTAATTGAGGTCAAATAATTGCAATTAATTTCACCCACAATCAATTATTCGATAGACCTGGTTCAAGCAGCTTTAAATCTCCAATCACATGATTTTATTCACTTTTTCATTATCTTATAGTACAGTCAGGGAATATACCAAATTTGATCAATGCCGATCGCACCTTATTTGGTAATGATCATTAGCAGAATTATTCTAGATTCCATTTCTAGATTGTTCCATGAAATACAACTCTTGGATATAACGAACCTTAATATAATGAACTCTGGCCATAACAAACTCGAAATTTTTAAATTTTAATATTAGATCGATATAAAAAGAGCGACAACTCTTAAGAAAACATAGTAATTTTCTTATGAACTCT